TTCAGAAAACCTGTCATCACCTGAGGTCAATCCTAGATGGCTGGTCATCAGTTTTCAGCACAAAAATTGAAGTTATTTTTTCAACACAAAAAGTCTTCCATATTTTTACTTAATGCAACGTAAAATTTAGAACAAATGGACTGTAAGAAAATAAAGCATCGCATATTAGTTGGCAAGTTTCTATGTCCAAAAAAGAGAAGATGGAAGAGCAAGTGGCAGTATTTTCCTCCATACACCCTCTTTTTAAATTTTATTGTTTATTTTAAGATTAGTTGGCTCTTTAATACACCTTTCACGCAAACCTGCCATGCGTTTCAGTCAGAGTAAAATACGGGCACAGTTTATGGCTTCCAGTGAGTGCTGCTTGCCATAAATAAGCATGGACAGGTAAGAGGAACCAGCACCAGGCACTGCACTGTCAAGGGGAGCAGCGAGGCCTTTTGAAGTGCTCTGAGCAGGAAGCAGTGCAGCCTTTTTAATTAGAGCACATACAGCTGGAGGATATACAGGAGGAGTCTCCTAAGAATTTATTTTGGGAAGGGAGGGACATATCCTTCAGGTGTTCTCATTAATGCAGGCTGAAACACAGAGCATAAAACCCAGCATTTTGAGGAGAAAAAAAAAACCCTTTCCCCCCCAAGTACCAGGGCTGAAATTGAAATCAACTGATGTTTTGCCATTTTACTCAAGGAAACCATAATTTCTTTCAAAAAAATTAGTCTGGACTGCTTGATCCCATTCCCATCAAAAATAAGGCTGTACGTAGCAAACTGCTGCATGTTTTCGGTGTGTTTACATATAAATATATAGGAACATCAGAAAAAAGAATTAATTTCAAGCTTCATCCTGCTTTTATTCTGCATGCAAGGCCACCCCCTGATTTCACAAATTATTTCCGTTCTGAGAGGTCAAAATCAGCTCTCATGTAAGGATCAGACTGGAATTATTTCCATGGCGTCCGAGCTTTGTGTTTTTAAAAGAATCAAGTTTGGGTCTCTGGACACAGAAATATAATTTGGTTTCCTTACTGAGCACTGATGAAACAAATAAAAACATCTGTAGAAAGGATAAACTGGCAGATTCTGGATAGATGTGAAGTTTTGTTACACAGGAGAAGCAATAGAACTATCTCTGAAAGAGAGAACTGCAAACAGTTCTTCTAAGCACTGTAACCGAAAGTGATCGTTGTTTGCTTTTACCGTCTATCTGGTAGGTCGTAATTAGCTAATAATTTTCCACATTTCTGTAATTGATTATGCCATTTCTGTAATTGATTATGCCGTTTAAGTCTGCACAGCTATTTGCTAAGAAAAACTCCTTGTCAGCACTTCTGCCTTTGTAATAAGAGATCTTGAAACACCTATTTTTTAGATCATTATTACTTTTAGATGTCAGATATGTGATGTCAAAGTATTTGTGAAGGCAGTAGAAAATGACAGGTCTATTACTGTGTTTAACTGCTAGCTATTGATAAAAATCTCTGTGTAAGATCCAGATATGATTGTTATTAATGAGTCCTGGCTTTGTTTAATTTGGGGAATAAGCCGCGTTAATATTTAGGAATTATTTTGAAAATCAATTAAGAAAACACCTGGGTTTAGTTAGCATATGCTACCTTCAAATTTTTGAATCGCAGCAGAGTTTCCATTAGTGTTGCTCTCGGTATTTATTGAAAACATTTTTCCTGAGAGCTAGATGCTTTCTGACCAAATAACTTAGATTATTACACTGTGCTAAGGATTTAATCACTGTAATAATTATTTTCAAAATCTCATTGCAAAATTGCAAGGCTATTGGTGTAGTTCGTGTTTATTTCTGCGTATCAGAAATTATTTTTGTAATACCAAGGAAAAGCAGCACGTTTGATATTGTACGTTATAAATGCATATTAGAAAAAGTTGAAAAGAAAAAAATCCTTACCCACTCGATCATTCTTTTGCAAAATGAATATTCTTTTTATGGATCAGTCTAGTGAGGTTTGCAAACAGTTTCAGGATAGCAAATGCTGATTTCTTACCTATGTATCCATAACATTTATTTTTTGATCAAGAGTGGAGAAGATATCTTGGTGCTTGATGAGTCTTATTTATGTATGAACTGATATGAAGCTGACAAAGTTGCTTATTTCTTCTGTGTTATATCCTGTTCAGATGTTTCTCAGGTTTTTTGTGTGCTGTACCTTGGTTTTTAAAGTGAGAACAGTGTCTATATCTAGAAACAGGTAACAGATATATTTGCAAGCAGGTTTTGACACTACATAGGCAATAAAAAACCCAAAAAACTATATTCTTATCATGCGGATTTTTCTGGCTGCATCTTTCTTAATCTGTTATCTGTTGAAATTTCATTTTAAAATTGTTTAAAATCTGACAAGCACCAACTTGAGAGAATTTATAAAGTACTTCAAATGTAATTTTAAAAACATAATGCTACCATTATAAATAAACTCTTACCTTGAAGTCTAAACTAGGCATGTGTAATTTAAACTATCACTACTGAGAGCAGACAAATCTATTTTAAGATACTATGGTTTGACTGTATTTCTCTCTGTATCACTGGAGAAAAGGTTTTTTTCTTTGGATTTTAAAAGACTGTTTCAGTATTGCTTTTTATTTTGTTAGATAGCTTTGTGAATTAGTAACAGGATTTTTCAAAACCATCGGGTTTTGAAAAAAGCACGGGTTGTGTCTTGTGTCTGTGGCATTCATGCTGCTTATTTTTATGTGGAACACTGAAAGAATGCTGTATTAACAACAACAAAAAGTAAACCACCAAAAACAAAAACCTAAACCAAACCCCAGCTCTAGAGTTATGTATTACAACCTTCTGAAAGATTTTGTGAAAATTCAATGCTTTAAATATAGACTGTATATTTCTACATGAAACACATATCTGTGATCTGAAGTTTTCTGAGAAACATAGCTGGTTTGTGGCTTAGTCCTCTAAAATGTGGCATTTAGCTGTTTGAAAAAACCCATTCCCAAATGATGTTATGAAATTAATTTTGGCTGCATTCCCCCCCACCCCCGAAATCTGTGATGGCAACAGTTAAACTTGCTTGTTTTCTACTGTGATTTTTATCATGGATAAATGACTCCATGTCAGCTTAAGGCCATTGGCTCTTCTTAGGTAACAGACTCAGGACAAGGAGTTAGTGCATGCCAGCTTTTTTGGGTAATACTGCCTTGGACAGGACCTGGGCCTTGCACAATAGGGAGATGAGTCCAGTGGTTATTTGCATTTGAATGACTTCCTAAAGAGGGGGAGGATGGTATCTGCTTTCTGACCGATATCCAGCATTATTTCTACATCATTCTGCAAACAAAATCCTCCTGCATTTCTCACGTGGGCCTCAGGACGCTGCTGTGAAGCCCTTTGCCGAGGTGATGCTTTAGCTGTGACAGCATCCTTGTGCTTGAGGTGCCAGCTGGTTTGGCAGCCTGGTGCCAGGGTTGGTGAGGGGGAGCAGGGAGCCTCCAGGGGTAGAGGGAAGGGAAGCAGCCCTGCTTCCCTGTCCTTGTCCAGCTGCTGGCGTGGCAGTGCACGCGCTGTGGCTGTAACAGAGTCTCAGCAAGTCTGCAGAGCTTCAGCTTTCTGCTGTCACTCGTCTGTTGTGACACAATGAAGGCATTAGGGCTGAGGAGGAGACTGCCATCAGAGCTACATAATGTTCATTTTAAAATTATTTTTCTCCACAATCTTTAGACCTGTCTCACAACAAAAATGTACAGCTACAGTCGGAGAACCGAGATGAGGTCAGCAAAATACCGGTTTTGTTAATCTTGCCAGTTTGTCAGTGTTTAGACCAGGGTTTAATACAACCTTCAAGCTGCTTTCTTCCTACTCCTGCTGCACTGTACTGCCAATAAGGACAGAAGGAGTACCTCTGAGGAGTCACTCCTCTCAGGGTAGCCTGGACTCCATTTCTTGTCCAGCTACCTCTTTTCACCGAGACTGCTCCACATTCTATGCCCATTTATACATCCTGGGACACTCCCTTGTCATCTCACAATGTGACTGAAACCTTTTCCCACCAGATAGATCTGGTGGAGGGGTTGTTTTTGCAGCTATCCTGTCCTGTTTGCCTTGACCTAAAAGGCACAGAAACTAAAAAGCCTTGTTTGGAAGACTGTTGTGCCAAGCTACAGGCTCCTTGCTCAGGCAGGTTCTCTCCTATTAAAGGCAGCTGGGTGGAGCATTAGTAGGCTTTCAGGTTACTGTCATTTGTCATATGAGGTGACCTAAATCAACTGAGTGATCCACCTATCTGGGACAAACACCCACTCAGTTCCTTCCTCCTGCAGCATCTTTTGATGCCCTCATTCCAGCGTAGATGACAAATACTTCTCTTAAGATCATGTTCGTTACTTTATTCATCCCACGCATTAACCAGAATTTTTATGTATTCTTGTGGATCACCTGTTAAGTTGGTTGACTTGGGGCAGGGAGGAGGTTTAGGAATTAGACAGCATCCAGGTGTATTTAAAGCAGAAGTAATGTCCTGGGGATGTAAAAGAGAATTGTGGGAATATATTGTAGGAGTTCCAAAATGTCAGCTCAGCTGTTCTCACTTCTGCCATGTTGTCACTCTAAAGTGATTAGCTCAGGACTTTTCTGATAGAATACCTAAGTTTCAGCCTCTGCATCTAGCCACAGGGGTGAGTATGGATTCAGAGGATATGTCAGCATGAATACAGAGATGTGTCTGCTGACATTCAGGTTATCTGGGTCTGAGTCAGAAGCCATGGCAGGACTGAAGCCAAATCCTGCTCTCAGTTGTTTCTTGGTCATATTAGTGACTTTTGAGAAAAAATATTTGTTTTTGCATGTTTCCAGGGCTAAGGGGGGGAAAAAAATGGCTTCACTTACTGCCCTTTTACTGTTCATTCCAAGCAATCTCTGACTCTTCTCTCTTTTTAGCACATGTGATCAAAGAAACAATGAACCCTTTTCCTTTTTTTTTCTCACCCCAATGAGAGTCTTCTCATTGCTTCTTCCAGCAATGCCAGGGGACTTTGAGTCATGTGGAACATTCAAAACTGACCCCTGGGTTTGTAGGCAGTGCGATTTTATTGTCCTTCCTGTTCCTATTGTTTCAACAGGTTCCCACAGCCAGTGTCACCATAGAAGGAGCGTCTGCCCTCAACCGTGTCCGCTGGGCCCAGGCTGGGAAGGAGGTAGCAGTTGGTGATTCAGAAGGCCGCATATGGGTCTATGATGTCGGAGAGGTATCTTCTTCTGGGATTATTTTGTGGTTTGTTTGTTTTGTTGGGGTTTTGTGTTTCGTTTTTAAGCTCAGCTCCTGAAGACTGCCACATCCAAGTTTAAGAAATAATTCTGTCTTATTCTTTCAGTGGAGTCTGCGTTGAATTTGGGTTGCCAACAGTGTGTTAGTTGTAAAGCTACCTTGCAAAAGAGTTAACTTGTTAAAGTCTCATGAGAGAAACCTCTTTTGAAAGCTTCCAGTGTTTTTCAAGCTGTTTTGTTATAATAATCCTGTGGGTACACTTTAAAAAAATTAAAAGAACATAAAGAAAAAATTGAGGTGCAAAAAGAGGCAGCGCTGTTCTAAAGTTGGTCCTAAAGGGTTCACCTTTTATACTCCAGTATCTGTTATTTTATGACTGCCTTATTGCTGCAAGTTTTTGCCAGCATGACATTCACAGAATGCATCTCTTCTTTTGATACTGCTTCATATGTCTGAATACATGCAAGAGTACTAACAGATGGAAATGAGAGGTGTCATTTTGAGGGATGGTAGGTGCATGCGTGATAGACAATAGCAGGTTGCATATTCTGTGTCTAAGGCTGCTCTCAATTCACCCTGCTACATCTTATAACAAGCATCTAAACTGCACTGTTTGGCAGTGATGAATCTCACTCTTTGTTGATGAATGCAGTATAAAGTGTTCCATCGGCATTACAATCCCTTGGAACAGTTAAGGGTGAATCTCTGAGCAATCAGCTTTTATGTAGAGAATTTGTTTTCCATCATTATCTGTGATAGGATACTGAGATACTCATCTCTACACAGTAGGGAAACATTATAGAATGCATACAGAATTATCTGTAACTCTCATAAAGTGATTTTATGGCCCATAGCAAAATTGCTTGTGCATGACTCATTTTTGGATTTCATTCACCTAGTGCAGGAGTTGCCCTGCCTCACAAATGTTTGCTAAAACTTCTTGCCATGTTGTTAGCATAATCTCTAAATTGTCTAAGGTTACTGTGCTCAGATTTCCACAGTGACACTAGCAGGTCAGCTGTTTTTATTTATTTTTCATTTTTGCATGACTGATCTGTCTTTCAAGTGATACGAAAGGCTGTGGAAATGTCTTTGATGACAGCACAGTCTGATCTTGTCTGAGAGTCTAGACAGGCTGTAGAAATGTCTCTTTTTGCATATCATACACCAAATCATTCATAGGACAGTTTACTCCTGCAAGCTCACCCAGAAGAAAATAGTGTTCTACGCAGAAGTAGCAATATTGAAGTTTTTGACCTTTCCTCTGTATAATAAGACGTCATCTTGCAAAATGAGTCACAGTGATACACTCAAATAAAAAAGAAAGACGGGATTCTATTACTTGAAAAAGAAAACAGAGTCATTCAGCAGTATTGATTTGTGTGAGTCCAGTTCAGTGCTATGTAAAGGGTTCTGCTTTAGGGATGCTGTGTGTCCTGCCCATGCAGAGCCTCAGTGTCTCCAGCTCAGCTCCATATGCGCTTAAGTAAACCAATGGATGTCTATCCACATGGCTACTGACAGACCACTGCCAATCCTCCTCTTCTGTAATGAATGGAGGAAATCATTAATTTGTCGCCTGGTTCAGTCAGGCAGTATCAGTCTCTGCAGTAATTACTGTATGAAATTTAGGAGAGGTCATCTGGGCTGCAGCACTGCTGGGGCTGCTGTGGTATTAGTGCCTTGTTCTGGTTTAAAAGAGAGGGTGCTTGTATACTCCTTAGGCCAGCTGTTCTCACTATAAAGCCTCAAGTGAGATGCAGAAATACTTTGCAGATCAAGTGCCTGGAACCAAGGGCATGTACAGTGAGTAGCAGCCTCTTGGGTCATTAAGTCTGTGGGCCAGTCTGTAAAGAGCTCTTTGATGAGAGTCCATCCTTAGCTGTCCTCAGGCATGACACATGGGGGATTCACAGTGCACATGCACTTTTGGAAGTGTCTGGTGCAGAAATATGGCAGCCTTTAGGGATTTTGCTTTACTTCAGTGTGCAGACACTGGCCAGGTTTTGGCTCAGCTGGGGTCCTCCTTTGACTGTCTTTTTTGTAGGGGTTTGTTTCTGGGATCTGACGGGGCTGGTCTGACAGTTTAAAAAGAAAAGTTCTTCTCCTGGCAGCCATCCTTAGCCACATCCTTCACTGCCGAGTTTTTGTGCAGGTAGCAGTGCTTATGCAGAGAGAGACGGATCAGTAGAGAAGTATTTGTTTGCTTTGTTTTCTTGGGGCTGTTTTGCTCCATGAACTGAGTCATGTAGAATTAGATGAGTGAGCATGTGGCTGGGGTCAAGGGGCTGGGAGCTGGACTGTGCAGCACCAGCAGCAGCTAACTTTCGTATTTTACCCAGCACTGTTGCAAATCCTGACACTAAGGTGTGAAAGGTGGCCTTTGTGTGACGGCACTCTTCTTGTCTCCTACATCAGCTTCTGAAAAGGCCTCATCACTGGAAGAACTCATCTTTGCCTGGCTGATAACTCAGTAGCATCCACTTGTTTGAAGGTGCATTTCCCTGATTTGGGAAGATAGGTGTGATTACTTGCATTAGAAAGTCAGCAAGGCCACTTTAGAAAGACCCTAAATACACTCACCAAAACCATGAATGCTCCACTTGTACTGCACCCTTTTAAAAACCTTTTTTTTTCTTGTGACTGTTCCAAATGTCATATTAGATCAGCTGTAAACTCATAAAGCACTGGTTCCATCAGAACTAAAAAATACTATATTTGTATTTTATTACAGCATCTTATCTTTAAATTTCACCTTACTAGATAAATAGTTTCTCTTACCTGTTTCTTAGACAACATTTATTCTGTGAATTTTGGTCAGAGCAGAAAGTATCAGGCTATCAACCATTAAGGGAAAAATTAAGTGGTAGGAATTTTTCTTTGATAGATTCATCATGGTTTTAAGGAACTATCCCAGAGAGCAGTAAAGTTTACTGCTGCTATTAACCCCTATGATATAAAAAGAAAACGTGACCCAAGTGAAAAACATAAAGCCTAACCTTGCATCCTTTGTGAAGGTAAGGAGTATGGGATCAGGGCTGTTTTCAGTTGTGTATAAATTTAGGATTGGCCCGTATTGATATGTTATCCAGTCATGGTCTTTATGACAAGAAATGTCAGACACATGAAGAACATGGCAGGGTCCATGACCAGGGAGTTAAAAGCAATGGTGACACTTTCAGTTAGGCTATATAGTGCTGTCTCTTTGACTATGTACTTTTAGTTGTTTGATTTTGGCATCACATCTGAAAATAACTGAACACATTTATTTTCACAGTGAGGGGTCTATTTTCTCCTCTATGCGTGTGCTTTATGCCCATTAGCATTAATAGGAGTTACACACACACAATTCCAGCAGAGAGGAGACTTAAACAGTCCATATAGATGTGCTTTTGTGGATCAGCAAACACTGTTTTAAAGAATGTGAATTATAAAATAAAATAGAAACTCAAACACGCAAAAATCCGATTGTTTCAGTGTGATGGGATCTTAAACCTATATAACTTAACTAGTACATATAACCAATCATTGTAAATGCACTTTAGTCTCCGTAAGATCTATATATTCAAACTTTTGCTGGCATAATAGTTGTGATATTATCACTGTGATTGTTTGTATAATATATTTTAGATTCTCTGGTCTTATGGCTAATTTACTGAGCAGCAAGTTTTCTGTATGGTAGAAGCTGGTTTTAACAGAGCATGGACCACTGCCTATAGATTTATTCACATGTTCAGGTGATTGATAGTTAGCCCTAACTGCATGTCTGTTTTGCAGATATATTTTCTAGAAAGCTTGCTCCCATTGTGCACGCTTCAGTGATGTTAAACACTGCCTGCTGTCATAAATATTCTCTAACAACCATGTTTGTTGCTTACCTGGCTTATTGCAAATGCTCTTTGTGCCTTTGGTTGTCAAAGAAGCAGCTTCTCATCCACCTTCTATGATTTCTTTTTTTTTTTTTTTTCCCATTTATGTCTTCCAGGTCATATTGTGCTTGCACTGTGAGTACATAGATAAAAACTGTGAGTCAATGACTTCTTATTTGATTCTAATAAAATATAAAATAAGTTTGCGACATAGGGATCCCAGAATTTGAAGCTGTAATCACAAGGAGCATAATGCAGTACATTATTCTGTTTAAGTGGTTATGGGACGAACTATTGCATCTGTGTGGTAGCTTTTCAGACAGTTAGTTCTAGTCATGCTTTTAAAAGGCAACTAGTATGACAGGTGGACTGAGGAGAAGTACGAAAATGTCTTTCTCAAGACATCCAGGAAGGCTGGCTCTGCCAATGAAGCAGTTACCTGGGATTCTTGGTATGGTTATTACCTCTGTCCTTGCTTCCTTGCAGTGAAATCAGAATCATATGGAAGTTTATGTGACTTTGTTAGGTTTCAGAGTTAATACTGCCTTAAGCCTTTTAAGGGCTGCTGTATTAGGTTGATTGTGTACTTCCCCATTTGCTCCATGATAGGTGTTAATCCCATATCTCATTTTCAAGTACATGACCAGAGAGGGAGGAGCTGGTAACTGCCCTGAAGTATGTCGATGAAGTTGTACTGTAAGGATATCGTGCTGCTGCCTATAAAATAATTTCCTTTGATTTCAGCAGCCTTTAACAGCTGCTCTGAAATTCCTAGGGTTCTAGACAGAAAGAAAAATATATTTGTGACCAGCTCTCACATTTAAGCATGACTATTGAGTCACTTGTTTTTCTGGCTAGAGTGGGGAAGCATTTGTACTTTGTACTCCTGTCTTGAGATCCTTGCGTTTCACTATAGATTTCATACAGGGAACACATATCCAGCATCTCCTTCAAGCAATTAAAAACTGCTGTAGCCCAGAGAGAGAAATATGAAGCTATATTTTGTGTCATGTAGTTACCCAGGTAGATTTTCCAGTAAGGTTTGCTTTTGCCATCATAAAGCTTCTGTAGAGTATATATTGAGTTGGGAAGTTTCTGCCACAAAAGCAGA